TTCTTGCCAAGCCACCAGGAAGCAGAAGCTCACTTTGTGTTGCAGCGACTCGTCGTATCATCAGCAGATAGAGTTTCAGCTCTGCTGTCCATCTGCTGCCTGAAGCGGCGCACCCCACCCCTCCGGCTCTGCTTTCTCTGCTTCCTGTTCAGTCCTGCGGTTAGAACCTGCCGGGTCACGGCGTGCGGCCAGAGCGGAGGCAGAGGTGCTGCGTCACTGTAATGAAACACCATGAAGTTCCAAACAAACCCTGAGCTGAACTTGGATTAATCCAGAGTTTAAAAATAAAAATCCTCTCACGAGATCAAGCTGGACTTCTCTCCATTCACAGAAATTCTTGCTTTCGTTCTGGTCAGTTTTCAAAAATATTGACACTCATTGAAGTTTTCTGCATTTTGTCACAGCGCAGCCAAACTAACAACAAACAAAAGCAACAACTTTAGAGAAGCAACTGAACATAAATCGCAATACTCAGAAAAATTGAGTTTGCAGATTAAAATATTGATGACAAGGCAGTGAAGCTAACTTTTTGGTTAGCTGTGTTCTCAGCTGACAATAACTACTGACCACTTTTATGGCAAATACTACCGTGGTGGCCATTTTGAAAAATGTTCACCAGAAAAAGGAAACGCAAGATAAAGAAAATATATCTGATTATTAAGGTTCAAAATATGTAGACTATGATTTGACAACAAACACATTCATCTAATTGGCAGTTTTAGTGGAAAATGTATTTCCACCTGTGGCAGCCATCTTGAAAATTAAAAAAAATATTATATTTCTATGTTCCAAATATGCATGATTTAACACAAAGTATAAATATGTGATAAATATTGGCAAATTTAGTTGAAAAAAATAATTTTTTCCAGAATTTTTCAGTTGTTTTTGTATTTTTTTAATTGTAACTTTGTGTCAAGTTAGGTTTTAGTATCTGCATGTTAAATAATTATCTGCTGCATTAATAGACAGCTGGGTCAGATGCTCACACAGCTTCTGCATTTCAGTGAAATGAAAACAGACAACATCTTCTGGCTTCTGATTTTAAATGTTTTATTAGAAATAAGTTGATTTTTAATGGAACTGCAGCCTCATTCCTTTGGTTTCTGCACAAACTCAGATCTATTTAAAGTGTTCTGTTTTTTTCTGGCCCACTGGGTCTGACTGCAGGTTAACTGCTGGAGAATCCAGAACGAATATGATTGTTTCCTGTTTTCTGCTCCTGCAGGTCATCATTGAGCGATATACAGGAGAAAAGCAGCTGCCCATCCTGGATAAAACCAAGTTCCTGGTACCGGACCATGTCAACATGAGCGAACTCATCAAGATCATCAGGTACAAACATTTAATCAGCACTTCCTGCTTTAGTCCTGTTTTCACCTTTTATCCAATTCTTTTGTTGCTTTATTTTCCTTTTATGTTGCTTTTGAGCAAAATCTGATGGATTTAGGTCCTGAAATGCTTTAAAGTTCCCAAACCTGGAGCTATATGCTGGTTGTCAGTGTCTCTAACAAGTCTGTCATGATGGAGTTGCATAATTTAGCCTAAAACTGTGAAGTGGGAAGAAAAAGATTCTTGGCAAAGAAAAATCTTAAGTATTGCACGTGTTTGCATTCAGCCATTTTTAAAAGGTTTGAAGAGAAAAAACATATTTCAAAATTCCTTATAAATATTTCTAAAGTAGCGTCAAAGTCAGAACTGATCACCATTAAATACTTTAGTAATGTGCGGTATATCAATTAATCATCTGAAAACTCTTTACTTTTCTTAGTGGCAGAACCCTAAAACGGCAGAAAATAGGCAGAACTGAAATCTCATTATCCAGGAATGATTTGGTGAAAAAAATGTAATGAAGTTGTTTTATGTGGACTTTGGACCGATCCTAACCTGTTCAGCGAAGCACACCTTTAAAAAACCAGCAGTGACTTCAACACATGCAGGTAAAGGTTTGACGGAAAAGTCGACATGTTGTTGATGGGTCCTGAAATCAGAGAACGATAAAGAGAAGGATAAATGGAAGGGAAAATAAATGAAAACAAAAGAAGGAAAGATGAGGAAGTATTTGACACTGTATGCTGATGAAACTTTCCTTTTTCTCATCAGTTTTCTGCTGTCATGTCTCTGTCTGCCCACCAGGAGGCGCCTCCAGCTGAACTCCAACCAGGCCTTCTACCTGCTGGTCAACGGCCACAGCATGGTGTCCGTGTCGGCGCCCATCTCTGAACTGTACGAGCGCGAGAAGGACCAGGACGGCTTCCTCTACATGGTGTACGCCTCCCAGGAGACGTTCGGCCGCCACAGCCGGGGCCCCTGGGGGCCCTCGCCTCCAGTGCTGTAGTTCCATGGCTGTATTTATGACCAGGTGTTTATACAAGGTCACATCTCTATGGATCCATTTATATAAATATATACATAAACCGTTATTAAGCCCAGCTTTATGGTTGGAGGTTCAACAGGAAGCAGCTCCTGAGTTCTCCTGTTGGTTTTATTCAAAGTTTGGGGATTTTCTTTTCGTCTTTTTTTTTCTTTAGAAACTCTGGAGTAGATGTTTAATGCCTGCCGTTTCCTCATTCCCATCATGTTCCCATTTTTATTCCCGTCTCTTCCTTCCTCTCACGTAACGGCTTCGCTCTCGGAACAGACCGTTGTTTGCGTAAAATAAACGGAAATCTAAGCGATAATGTGCAGCTTTCTTAGGAGTGTCACCAAGTCGAGTTGTGGACCCACTACAAGGAGCTGATGATGATGATGTCACCTGTGAGGAAGGGCGGGGGTGTCTTTGTCTTCCCTCGTTTTCATTTCTTCGTTAAAAACTCCCAGAAGTCCGGAGCGCTGCGATCGTGGGAATCAAACGCCTCCCCGGTGGGTTTGTTTTAAAGGGCTGAACGCGCTCCTCCTCCTCCTCATCTTCATCATAACATGTTGAGGTTTAGCTGCTTTATACTGAAATGTTATTGTTTGGGTTTGTTTTATTTAATGTGATTTTATTCCATGGTTTTGTAAAGGTGACCTGTTACAGAGGGGCGGCGTTTCATTAAAACGCCGCATCCAGCAATATCTCACAGCATCCTTTATGTATTTATGTTGGTCTTTTGTAAACAATAAAAAGATGCAAAATATTATTGTGTCTTTAGTTTTTGGGAGTAAAAACAGCCTTAAAGATCTGCTTTGTTTTAAAAACTTTTTTTTTCTGTCTGAAGTTGAATTTGAACAAACGTCTCTAGTTTTAACTTGGAATCAACAAAGTTATTTCTATTTGAAAAAAGCTGGAAAATTTAGTGAGAAAATAATTTTAGATATATTTTTACAGCTTTCATTAAACTAATAAAACTACTTGGATTTCAATTCAGTGTTTCCAAGGTTTGGAAAGTGCTTGATTTCTTCCTTGAAAGTCCTTGGAATTTAAACTGCAGTTTTGTAATAAGCCCAGTTTATTTCGCCGTGTGACCAGACAGCTGCTAGTCTGCAGGAGCAATGAAAAACAGGAAAACGGAACCAAACGCAGAGCCCTGAAATAACGTTTAATCAAACATTTGATTAAAAGCTTAAATTTGGAAAATGTTATTTAAAGTTAAAACCAAATATTTAAAGATTATGTTTGTTTTTTTCCCAATGAAGTTAAATCAGACTAAACTTCTTTTAGGTCAGAATTACAAAAAATATTTCTGTTTGCTAAATGGAAGAAAACTTGGCAAGATTTGTTTTTGCAAACAAATTAAGATTTTGTTAATTTTATTTTGTATAAGATGGAACTAAACATATTTATAGAATTGATCTCAGAAATTTGTCTGAGAAAACTCAGACATTTTCAGATCAACCTCAGATATTTTCTAGAAGAAATATGGAAAATGTTTGACTTTTGGAAACTTTCTAAACTTCAAAGGTTGAAAATGTTTTACTTTTGAAACTAAGTCCCAAATTTTCTTTCTAAAAAATTTCTGATTATTTTTTCTAGAAAATTTGAGATTTTTCAGTGGAAATTGACTCCTGTTTTTTCTTTCTGTGGCCTTAATACAAGATATCAATAAAATTAATGTCACATAATGGTGAATTGAAATAACTCCTTTAGTTCTTTTATCTCTAAAATGTGGCTCTGGAAAAGTTGGATAAGATCAGTTTCTGATCACAGATGCATAAAAGATGAACTCCAGATGATGAATCTTGTCGAATGTGAACAGTTCAAGGTTTTAACAGTAGGGATGTGAATAATGAAGGCACTAAGTTCTTTATATTACAATGTTAATAAAGAAATAAACACACATAATCAGCTTTAAGTCTGAACAAAAACTATCAAACATCAGACAATATAAAACCTGAACTCCAGACAAACTGCTGAAACGTTTCCAAACAAAACGTTTTAAAAAACCGCTGGACAAAAAACAAAAAAACCAAATCCAACAGCACTATAAAAGTTGAACTAGAGATTCCCCCAAAATAATAATACAACCCAGAACATTTTTATACAATCATCTGTGCCTTAAAACCCAAACTAACCTTTTTTATTTAGTTTCAGCAGAACTTAATCGGACGTTTAGCATTTTAAATTAAATCCCCTTCTTGCTTTACTTCCTCCCTCCAGGGGAGCAGAGCTGATCTGGGTCCAGCCCAGAATTACACACCTCAGACCCCAACACACACACCGACGCTTCCTGAACGCCTCGCCGTGCGACCAGACAGGGCAGCCGCTAGTCTGCAGGAGCAACGAAAAACAGGAAAACGGAACCAAACACGGAGAAAGTCGGACCTGAGTGAAGTTGGCCCCACAAACCTTCAAATTAAACCAAATTGGTGTCAAACTTTTGTGCTGCAAGAAATGTGTTTGTGCCGCTATCATTTTAAAGATAACAAATGTTTCCAGAGGTCATCAAAGGTCAACCAGGCCCCACAGATTTACAAAATCAAACAAAATGTGGCATCAGTCAAGCATGCTGCAAAAAATCCCAGAGATTTGTGCTGCAACATTTTTATCTGTGCCAAAATCATTTTAAAGATTAATATATGCTTAGAGAGGTCAAAGGTCAACTGCAACACACATTTACAAAATCTAAGAAGTATGGTGTCAGTCAACAGCACTAGTTTTGTGCAGCAAAAAAGTTTGTTTATCCCATCAAAATTAACAAAATCCAACAAATTTGATCTAAATTAATTGTGCTATATTTGTGCAGGTTTGTTTGTTTTTGCCACTAATGTTTTAAATGCATTAATTACAGATAATCAAATGTCAATCAACTGCACTGTTTTTGTGCAGCATACACTTTTAAATTTTTTAATAATTAAAATGACAGCGATACAAAAAAATTTGCTGCATAGACGTTTGACACTAATTAGGTTTAATCTGAAGGAGGGGGGGTGGAAGTTGGTGTTTTTGAAATGTTTCGCTGTAAACCTCCCATGATTCTGCCTTCAGCTCAGATCTGAGGTAGAAACGCTGCAGAGGCGACATAAACGAGACGTTCACTCAGCTGCTGCTTAAAGAATGACTGGCAGTCCTGAAGCGGCCTGAACGCCTCGTCGGTTTGGGTTGACACTGAAAAAAGAGAGAAAAGTTTCACCCCGTTTTAAAATCTCCTTTTGAATATAATGATTGTTTATGTGGAATTCAGCCGATTGAAACCTGACTGCAGCACAACGGCGAGCGTTAAAATGAAGGATAATACTGAAATTACAGAGTCTGAAAAGTGAAAACCCAAAGTTTGGTCTAAACTCTTGGCTGCGCAGCCGCCGCCGTGGGGAGGAAGCATGAAGCTCTTCCTGTCTGAAGCTCCGGTTTGTTGAACCGTTTCTCCATCAGCGTTTCGCCGACTCGCTGATTTGTTCCTGCAGGTGAAAACATTTCCAGCAGTTCAAAGGTCACCGCCTCGCCATGGTTTATTCTCCTGAGTCTTTACTCTGAGAGTGAGGAGTGAACTTCAGCCGAAACGTTCCTGAGAAACGCAGCAAAAAAATACAAGTCAGAATTTAAAATGCCCAGTTTAGATCCAATTATCAATTAGTTACACCAAAAACTAATCAATAGATCATCCATACATGATATTAAGTCAAGCAGAACATATTTTCTTAACTTGCAACAAATGATCGAGTGTTCACTAAATAAATGCTGTTACTGCAATTCTTGTTTTCTTATTTTAAGTAGAGTTGGATTATTTGCATCTATTAATGCATTTCTAATATTGAAAAAAAAGGCTAAAAAGTTCAATCTGCCATGTTTAAAAACCAAATTAACTTTATTCTCATATTATCTCAACTTTAGTATTGTAATATTTTGACTTTATTTAGAAATATGACATTATTCTGGTATTATTTTGATTTTATTCTCGTATTTCTACTTCCTGTTTCTCTCTCTCTCACCCTGCTGCGCTGAGTCCATCGCCGGCTGCTTGCAGTCCTCGGCTCGATGTCCGCCGCCGCCGCAGTTGTAGCACGACATGTTTCCTGCCGCACGCTTCTGGCCTCCGTTTCCCACAATGCCGTGCGGCTGGTAGAACCCGAAGCCCTGCTGCTGGTCGTGTGACGTGGGGCTCTGGCGGTAGAGCGGAGGCGGGACCATCATGGGGTAGGAGAAGGGCGGGGCGGCGGCGCTGGACGAGGCGATGAGCGGGCTGAGGTGGAGCAGCGGCCCCAGGGTGAACAAAGATGGCTGCAGGTACCCCGCGGTGGCGTATCCAGGCAACGCCGCGTACGGGCTGCAGTTACCGCGGCAACCGCAGGAGCTGCAGACGCACACGGAGGCGTTGTGATCGGAGGAGGGCGGGGAGGATGTGGGCAGGGCGGGGCTGGAGGTAGACTGGTAGTACTGGTTTCCAGCAGCGTTGGCGGGCGGGGCGGAGGCGGCGGGGGGGTAGATGTGGTACCCGGCTGGGGAGGAGGACAGGTGGAAGAGCAGCGGCGGCTGGGAGACGTGGTGCAGGCTGTTGGAGGTGGAGGTGAGGGCGGAGCTTGTTTCCACCATCAGACCCACGGCGCCGCCGGGCCGCGTGCGGCTCGCCGCCGCCGCCTCCTGGGGGCCGCCGTCCGCCACGCCAAGCCCAGAGAACTGGCTCTCCAGCCGCGCGGCCACGCCGACCCCGGGCCCCAGGCTGAACCCGGCTGCGGCCGCCACGGCGCCCAGCGGCTTCGACCGGTCGTCGGCGCCCAGCGGCGAGGGGCGGGGCTTCCTGGGGGAGGACAGGACGCGTGTCGGGAAGCTGGGCTGTAGCGGGAAGTCGGTCTGCAGGACGCTGAAGGGGTGGTAGGAGGAGCAGGACGGGGGGTGGGGGGGCGCCGGCTCGGTCTGAACCGGAAGAACCTGAGCCGTGGGACGGGCCGGACCGGCAGAGCTCAACAGGTAGCGCTCCTTCTCCGTACCGCCGGCAGCGTTCGGACCTGAAACACAGAAACACAGCATGAGGAACCCTGATGGAAACGCAACAAATTCAATTTCAACTGGACGCACTATGGAGACACAAAGCGTTTGGAAAAATAAAAAATAAAAAAAATCCAGATTTTTTAAAAAATGAAACCTTCTGAGACCAAAAGAATGAATTAATGAACAAAAGTGATTCATTGCCTGGGCCTACTTACGGCCCACAGCGTCTCTGCTCCTGTCGAAGGCCGAGTCGCAGCAGAGCGACATCCAGGAGGAGCTGCTGTCTGTGGACATCAGATGAGGAGGAGGAGGAGGAAGATGCGGCACTCCGTCCACCTCCACTCGCAGCTCTCCTGCACAACAGTTTAAAAAAAAGGATTTTCTGCAGAAACCTTTAACTTTCACACTTTAACATTTCCTTAAAGCTTTGCTCTGGTTTAACATAAACATAATATCAGCTAATCCATTAGGAATAAATGTAAATGTTTAGAAGGGAAATCAAAAATAACCTTTTCTTTTCTAACATTGCAACTATATGAAAAGCACTGATGTCAGTTTTCTAGGCCAATTCCAGTTTCCACTTTTTGACGTTTATAAACTTTTAACATCCTGAGTGCCGTTGCTGTGGTTCTCTTTCACATTGCACTTTCTCAAACGAACCCAACCTTTTGAGCAAACTGTTCCCCTCCTCACCTGTGGTGGCGCTGCACCAAGAAGCTCTGAAGGAAACGACCTGAAAATATCTGAAGGAAACACTGAGTGAAACCTCCTTCCTCACAAAATGTAAACAAAAAATGGAGAGGCTTCAGATTTTAGTGCTTGGAGGATTCTCCTTTGGTTTTTGGTAAAAAACCAAGTTCCATTTTTCCAGCTAGCACCAGATTCACACATTTGTTTCAGTTGTTTTTACCCAGAATGCTCTGCGCTATAGTTCGCTTCCTGCTTATGGAAAAATCTCCAGTCCGCTTGGCATTCAGATGCATTCAAAACGCACCAGAATTTGTTGGTTTTGTAGGCGGATCAGAGTTTGCCTTTTTGGTCCTCATCAGAGTTCAGTTACACATTCACACCTCCCCAAACGAACCGGACTTTCACTTCTGTGTCGAAAGCGAACATTGTAAAATAAATGTGGAGTTTGACACTGCAGTGCGAAAGAGAGGCTCAAAATGTAACAAACATTACAACTTTGGTCCCCAAACTAACCGATGTTAAGACATGCTTAAATGTAGTATTCTGTCTGTATTTATAAAAAATACAATCTGTTTTTGGGTGTGGCGCCTCTCATCGCCCCCTACCTGCAGTGGAGGTGGGGTGCACTGAGATTCCCATGTGACTGGACGGTGTCACCCTGGCGATGCCGCTGCAGGGTCGCTTCTCCGTTTTCATCTCCCTGCTGAACCAGAAAAGTCGACTTTTATCCACTAGGGGGAGACACCGTCCACTAAATCTGTCAGCTTGGTTCTAATTTAAAAACGTGGAAAAACTGCTGGAGGAAATTTCTATTTTCTGCTTCCTGTTTGAGCACAAACACACACATCCCCACCTGGCTGGAAAGTTGCTGATGCTGACAGATGAAGGAAATGATGCACAGGTTTGGACTCACAAAAGGGTTTTCCTGCAGGTTCACGTTTTTTTTTCTGTTTCCACACACACATTTCCAACCCATTCAGTACATCTTATCTCTCTGATCCGCAGCAGCCGGTTAACCATTCACCATTTATGGACTCCAAGTTCAGCTTTTACACCTTTTATATCGGCGGCCGATCAGCCAGCTCGTTACTCGATAATGGAGTTCAGGCCAAAACCAAATGCATCTCAGAGCAAAGCAGACTGATGCTTCAGCAGATTACTTTAAATGTTTCCCGATGATAAAACAAGAATTTGAACCCTGAATCGTCTCTGAACTGCACTGCAGAAATTAGAAAACTTGACTAAGAATGATAAAGATCAGCCAATGTTTTTAAATACAGATACAATTTTTAAAAATGGCAGTTTTCCACTATTTTAATTAAATAATTTCTATAACAGACACTAAGAGTACCAGGAGTATTTCTTCGGATCTATTTTTTCTTGTCTTTTGGATGGAAACCAGGGCTGAATCGATTAACAGGCTTAATTGTGATTGATTATTTAAAAAACTGATTTAGTGATCGATTAATTAGCTGGCGAATACAGACTCAATTAAAGGTTATTTGCTGAAAGTTGTAATTAAGCCAAAAATGTGCAGAAAATATATTAATTAAAAATCTTTTGTCTGTAAATTAGTTTTACCCAGAATTCCTTAAAAGTCAGTTTTAGAGTCACCCAGTTAAATTTACTGTGCAAAAAACGACTAAGCACCATTTGCTATGCAATTATTAATTGGCTAAAACAGATTTACGTATAAAGAATCTTAAATGCAATGTATATATTTTTTGTATAGTTTAGGCTTAATTACTGCTCTGAGTAGGTTCTTTTACCACATGGCCTTTTGTGAGTCTGTATACTCCGGTTAACGATTGATCGGTTAATTGTTAGTCCCGATTAATCCGATTAATCGGATTAATCGTTTTAGCCCTGGTAGATTAACAGTGTTATTAAGCTGGAATACAGCCCTGAAGCAGAAGCTTTTCGGAGCCGTTTCCTGATTTCCTGAGACTCTTTTGCAGCCGAACGCGTCAGACAAACCGAATCTCCTGCTGCTTACTCTGCTGATTTATGAAGCTCCAGCTGAGTCTTGAGTTTCTTCTTTGCTCCCTGGGTCAAGTCGTACTTGTTGAGGTCTTCCTCCGTCAGCGCTAAAAACTGTCCACAAAAACAGGTCGGACATTTTTCAGAAGAGATTAGAATATTTCCCTCACTAATTAATGCAATAAAAACTGAATGTAAACAGACCTCCTCCATGGTGAGCTGTTTGAAGACTGGGTAGTACTTATGGAGCCGGAGTTTACGCAGCCAGTCCAGGATGCCGTTCTGCTCCGGCGTGTTGGATTGATTCTGCGTTAACTGGGCCGGATGGGACTGGGAGCGGGGCAGGGAGGGGGAGTGGGACGCCTGCTGGGAGTGGGACAGGTGCAGCGTCTGCGTGCTGGGCGGAGGGTGGAGGTGGTGCATGGAGGGAGACAGCGGCGTGGGGGGAGACAGGAGGGAGGACAGGTGAGGCGGGGAGCGGGTCAGAACCGAGCTGTGGGTGCTGACGACGGGCTGGACACTGGCCACCCGGTACACTGCCCTGAAAACGGAACAGGAAGTGACTCAGGTTCATCTGACACAGGAGACTTAAAGGGGCAGTATCGTGTTTTCCAGGCACATAGCGGCAACTTTTAGCATAATCAAGTAACTACTATGTTACCTTCAGGTTTTATAAACTTGATATATATGTCAAATATGACTTAGAAGAAATTTAACTTCCTGTTGTAATGCCTTGAAATTAGGCCTCTGTCTCTTTAAGAATCTCCTGTTCTGCCAACATGGCTCCTCTATTAACCCTTCAACAAAGTTTTTACCAGCAATGAGAAGTAGCTCCTATAATGATCTCAGCAGATGTGCAGTTTCAACAGGTGTTTGCTAATTGCTGCTGGCTAGTCTGAAGGAACTCAGTGGGGCAGGAGCTGCACCTCGAAGGCGGAGCTAGGTCCACCCAGGCGTTTTGCACAGCTGGATGGTTGCCATGGAGATTACAGGATTTCTCAAACATGTACGAAAGAATCAAAGCAAAACTCCAGATTTATTTTTGATGATTAATAATGATGTAAAGCTTTTAAAATCTATTTTACATAACACTTCCCCTTTCAAAAAAAAAAAGAAGAATCAGATTCATCATCCTATACAACACATTTTCCATCCCAGATCAACCTTCTACATCAGCGACTAGCTTACTCTTAATATAGGAAGTTTATGCCTTGAAAGCTGAGGTATGTAACTTTTATATAAAAGAAATAACTCCATCATTTTAATGCTGGACATGGCAGGATTACTGTTGGGTTTGACTAGCTGGTTTGATTTCTGTTTTCATTTATTCCATATAATGTTCGTAATAGCAACTTATCACGTAGAAAGAATATTTACCTGTTAGCTCCTCTGTACTGCACCATACAGCCGCTGTCTGAAACAGAAACAAAGACTTTCATCAACTAGAAACACTGAAAACCTCAGAAACATGCACAAGATTTTAAAAAGTGTTATTTCATTGAGGACATATGTTATCACATGAATAAAGCCGATCAAGTATGTGAATTTATCCATCTATAGAGTCGGTAAAATTATTAAGGCCCTTGGATGTTTTACCCTTTTTACTGATTTTAAAAGTCAATCATGAAAGTGAAATATTATTTCTACAAAAATAATAAGTGTACTGCAGCTTCTTTTTGTTTTCATCAAACCAAAGACGATTCTTCCATTTTACCATGTATGTCTGGATTAAATTACCTTTGTATTATATTTTCATTTATTAGGACAGACCTAAAGAGAAACTGCAGTTGGCTTGGGTTGGTATCGGCCAGTCAAAGCTTTACAAAACTCAAGATTGTAGAAAAACACGCTCTGATCTCCAATCAACACCATTTTAAGGCGAGAACGAGAATATTTTACTGCTTGGATTTAGCACAGAATCATACAAGCGGACCAAACAAGACTCTGGGTTGGATTCCACCTGCACAAGTTATTCCCAAAGAAACTAAATCTAAGGGAGCATTAACACTAAACTCCTGCAGAAATCAGACGCCTATTACGTCTTTCTAGCTTCATCAGGACTTCCATTCATTCTGCGCCATCTTAGTAGGTTAGCACTTACGAAATGCTCAGCAGAACCCAACAAAAAAACTTTGAGATCAACAAACAAAATATATTTTTCCTGAGAAAAAAATATATGAACAAAATGAATGCTTTCAGGATCGACTCGCATGAGATGGAAAAGGAAAATATATCAGACAAGTTGCCTGGGATCTTATACTCTGACAAAGTAACGACCTAATGAACTTGAGTACAACATGGAGGAGCTTCGCAGCCTGAAATCCATGGACCGCTTGCATGTTATTGTTTACATCCAGACGTTTTGCGCCTGAGCACAAAGCCGGAGGGGAAAAAGACGATTCTTTTACTTGTCATCCAAAGCTGCGCTGCAGCAGTAGAATAAATCTGTTAAGAAAATAAAACCTGGAGATGCAGGTTTTATTAATTTGGTGCAGTGAGCAACAACAAATGTAAAATAACAGAACAACATTTGAAGAACAACTGAAAACCATTCATACTCTTTATTTTTTTAAATAAATTAAATCTAGCGCACTTTTTCCATAAAAAACTGCTAAAATCAATATTTACAGATATATTTAAACACAATAGTTGGTTATTGAGAGCCAGTGGAAAGTCCAAGGAGCCACAGGTTGCAGACCCCTGATGTGACCCAAAAACAAAGCAGAGGAACTGCATTTATGGTGAACCATTCCTGCCATATTTCTAATACTCATAACTAGTACAGTACAATAGAGCTGAAAAAACTTTTCCCACTGTTGGTGAAAGAGGTCCTCTGTATGTAGTACATTTGAGTAACACACACACCAGTATGATGTCATCCCAGTCTGGGCTTCCCAGCATGCCGCAGTGAATTCCCACACCGGACCGAAATAGACCCGGTCGGCTCCGTCCAACACCTCAAACCTCTCAGAGCGCCGCCTCACCTCGTCTCTACGACCGACTCTTCCTTTTCTCATCCCAAACAAACCACACAGACTTCCTGCACTGCAAAATGCAGCATGTAGAGTTCACTTAAAAAAATATGCAAACTCAGTGCCTCAAAAAAAAATCAAGTTCTCCAAATTTAGAAATGTTAGTGGGTTTACACAACTCAAATAACTAGTATTTCTATTCTTACTTGAGTAAAATTTTCTACCCACTGAATGAAAAAGAAACATGTTTTTCAAATCACCAGACAGACACACACCTGCAGTTTTTGTTAAACTTAAGTTTTTTAATGAAAGAAACTGATTTGGAAAAATTTATTTTGCCTGATTTTGTTGTTTTTTGTTGTTTATATGAGTTATTGTCATTTTTGTCCTTAAAATACCATAATTTGCGATAAACTTTATATTTTGGTCACAGGACTTACTGGAGGTGGAGCAGGTGGGGATAGCAGGAGGTAACCTGGTGGAGAGAGGAGACGCGGGGCAGCTGGGGGTCAGAGGTCGGCTGGAGGTGAAGAACAGCTGGACGGAGTGATGCTGCAGGACGGGGCCGGGCAGCGCAGCCAGACACCTGGGTGGAGCAACAAGCAACATGACAGTGGAGAGAGGACATGTAGAGATGTCAGGAAGGGTTTTTTGTCTCACTATCAATCATGTTTGATTTACATCATAAAAACACAAAAATCAACAACTGAAACGTTACATTTTGCCAAGTGCCATCATCACACATAAAAATGTTGACAAATTTTTATTTGATTATAAATCAAAAGCAGCTTTGAACAAGTGGGTTTTCAATCTAGACTTAATGGATGCAGAATGTCGGTTTAGCCTTTTAGAAGTGAAAGTTGGGGTGAAAACAATTTGATGTTTGGTCAAAAGACTGAAACTTTCGAGAGATGAGGTTCATGCACTGACCTGGTGTCGACCTCTACGGACCGAGGGAGGAACGTCTCCAGTCCATCGTCAGGAAACACCTGAGAGAGCTAACAGGGCAACATTCAGCACGATTAAATTAAACTACCCACAGTTCACTGCACATATCACTCTACGCTGACGATACTCAGATTTTTACACAAAAACCTGAACAATAATTTTACCTAAAATTATTGTTAGGTAAATAAATATTCTGGTAATACAAGAAGTCATGTCCTTGCTTATCCTTAATGCTTCGTTCAGTTAATTTAACAGGATTCAGTTGAAATGGCTTTGGGATCAATATGTATATAAGCTGGTTACACCATTAGAAATCAGACGGCACCGAATCCCAGTAGCTACCATCTGCACCAGATTGTTACCTGGGATATCAGCTCTGCCACTTCCTGTTGAGTTCTGACAACAGAGGATGTAAAACCGTCGGACCAGCCCACCTGGACAGGCAGAGGAAAGGAGGAAAGCAATGAAGAAGAGCAGCAGACAACGATAAAAATCTACCTTATTGGTGTTGATCTACCTCAAACACATATTCGCCTCCGTTCTCTGGCTTATGGATCGCTCTTCTGAGCACCACCCGCTCAATCACAGCTGCAAGACGCACACATCAGTTCACAGACCAGTAAAAACACAGACATCCCACACCAGTAGGTGGCGATAAAGTCAATATAACTGACATGCTAAAATACAGAGAAACAAAATCAAAAGCAAGGGTAAAAATTCCATGTTTTTATATGTAATTCTGACCATTTAAAATTATTTTCAAACTTTCCATGGTAGGTTTTCCTACCAGCTTTTTTATTTTTTAAAATACTGTTTTTATTCTATTTACAAATCAATCATAACTAACCAAATTTGTGTTTTTGACAAAAACATTTACAAAATAACCCCTTTAATGTCAAATTGACAATTCACAATACAAACGTCCTCATGTTAATGTCCGAAACGATTAATCAAATTAATTGATTATAGAATCGTCAACTTTCACAAATAAATCATGACGACAACATTTATTTTTTGACAAAAACATTTACAAAATAACCCCTTTAATGTCAAATTGACAATTCACAATACAAGTATCCTCATATTATCCTCATATCAATAACAGAAATAATTGATCAAATTAACCGTGATTAATCGATTATAGATTAGTTTAACATATACAGGCTATAAAAAGTCAATTTGCTGAAAGAATAACACAATCTGAGCAGTAATCAAGCCAAAAATATAAAAAAACTGAATGACAAAAGTTGTCAGTCTGATGCTATTTTGTTTACAGAGACTTCATGATTCATATTATTTGTTGTTTCTGTTTTGTTTATTTATTTTGGATATTTGAAATATCTTCCAGTTAGAATTAATAGTTTATTAACCTTTGAGAATCTGTTCTTGCATTACTATGCAAGAACAGATTGCATAATAATGCAATAATGCCATTACCATCATATTACTTGAAAATAGTTTCAAAACAATATTATTGTTTATTGCAAAAACGTCTGGGACAAATGTCCAGGAAAATTTGTTATCATGACAGTTGCCTAAAAATTAGTCAAAGTTTGAACAAAACTAAAACTACTACTAAGATTAATAAGAACTAAGCAACATTTAACTACTAAAAACCAGCAAACACACTATGAAAACAAATTAGAACTAAATGAATTAGACAAAAAAATCAAACAAATTAAAACTAAAGTCAATGGAAAGTTATTGTGAGTAAAAATGTGGGTGTGGCTTTTTTATGAACAGATTTTTGGGCGTGAAGGGACAAGCTGCTGAGACGGGGATGGAGGAGTTTATTTAAATGTTTCGGGCCGTTTTACATCAACAAACTGTCAAACTGTTTATTACCTACTGATTTGAACAGATTTTACAGACTGGCAGAAAAATGAAACAATCGGCTGCTGGCGAAACGCAGCTACACACAAAAAGCAACTAGACAACATGGATCTAAACAGGTTGCTCTCCTGTTTGCATGCTGAAGGTTTTATGTCGGTGACAGCTATGCAGTGTTAGCAGAGGTGACATAGCTGAGTGTTGTGTTACAGATCGGACGCCTGGCGTAAACTCTGAGACACGAGCTGCTCAACGGGTCACTGATTTCTAATAGCTGATAATGGAAGACGTCCCTGTTGATCAGTTTGGCTTCAGAAAGATTCACCTGACTGAAAAACATGAGGTAAACAAAATAATCCAGCATGTCTGGAACCTAACCGTAAATAAAAAACAAGCACAAACGTTTTAACAACAAAGTTATAACAATAAAATAATAATAAAAAAAATTGTATGACAATACAGTCAAAATAATACAAGAATAAAGTCATACTTTTGCCAGTGTTAGTTGTAATGATGCAAGAAAAAGTTGTAATATATATTGCCAGAATAGTCGCAAAAATAAAAGAAAAAAGTCGTATGACAATAAAATCAAAGTAATTTTAGAAATAAAATTGCCAGAATAAAGTTGTAATAATAAGAGAAAAAGTTGTAATATTATCCAAGTAAAGTCAAAATAATACACAAATAAAGTTATAAAATTACCAGACTAAATTCTAAGTCAGACGAGAACAAAGTCATAAAATTAGTATAATGGTGTAATAATAACTAAAACGAGGAATGTTGGGCATCTTGTGGAGCTATACGTTGGCATCTGTTTTAAAACTAGGAAATACTTAATCTTTTAACAAATTATTATCAGCAGAATGATTTTGAAACGATCGTTTAATCACCTGGGTTTATTTAGAAGAAAGAATCACATGAACTGATCTGCTAACGTCAGATGTTGATAACTATATAGGCTTTTTTCATATTAACTTTTTTTTCTGGTTGAAATGGTTTTCCTGCTGATATGATTATCTTTTCATAATTAAATAAATATTCTTGTCACGATAACAAAATTTGCTGGACGATAAATTGTTCCAGAACTTATTGCGGTAAATGATAATATTGTTTTGAGACTATTTTTAAGTAATATAGTGGTAATAATGCCATAATAATAATTCAAGAAAACATTCTCAAACATCAATAAACTTTATATTCTCATGAACATTTAACACTGGAAATTGATTTTAAATATCTAAATTAAACAAAAACAATAAAATGAATGATGAAGTTGAAACCAAAACATTAGACTGACAAATTTTATCATCCTCTTTATGGTAGAAAAGAGAAAAGAGAAAAAAAGAGAAATCATGCAAATAGAAATTATTGAGCTTGTTTTAAATTATCAATTGATTTATTGATTAATTGGGAGATAAAAGCCACTTTTTCAGAATATTTTCTGTCATTTGTAATTTGTTTCTTTCTTAAAAACTAAAAAGTCTGAGTTTTTATTTTGAAGTCGTGTTGTCCAGCTCTGGCTGATGCTGATTCTTTACTAATAACTAATAATAAGTCATAACTCTTTGAAGACTTTGAATTAATGAGCTACAAAAACATTTATTCTCCCTTTGGGATCAATAAAGTATTTTTGATTCAAAGATTTTTTTATATATTTTTGTGTCTGAACCTCACTGCAGTTTTCCCGCCCAGCCCTGAGGGCTGCATTCTTTCTGCTTGTGTTCAGACGCAGCAGCATGCTGCAGCATGCTGCATCCTGCTGCAGCATGCTGCATCCTGCTCAGGTGTTGTTTTTAGGTCGTCGCTGGCAGCTGCTCACCTTTCACTGCCTTCTCCTGGCGGCTCCTGGTTGCATCCTGGACCTGCAGGGGCGGTGGAGGAGAGCGACGCTCTGGGCGAGGAGTCGGCAGCTCCTGGTGGACCGCCTGCTCTTCGTTTCCCAACGCTGCGCCGGATGGCGGGCCTGACCCCGTCGACGCCTCTCTGCTCTGGTTCTGGGGGTCAGAGGTCAGGAGAACACATGAAATATTAGAGTTTACTGTGTTTTACTAGATTCAAGAACAAATGACAACAAACAGAAGAATCATCAGGAGCTTTTAATGGATCTGATAAACATGAAACATGACAAAATGTTTGAGAAAGACATCAGATCCAATAAAACCAAATAATTAAAATCAAATAAAAAATTCAAAGGTTCTGTGCAGTTTTTTTTTTTAAGCAATGTCTTTAGAAGAAATCTTTGTCCTCTGAATATGCAATACATAGTTCTCATGTGACATCACACATCCAGGAAGCCATCTTGGTAGGTAACTGCCATGACAGTCAGGCCTGTCACAATAAGCAATAAATCAATAACATATA